GTAGTGGTATTGCTGGACCAAAGGGTATGCACAGTTTCATAGCTTTGGGCATAGTTCCAAATTGCTCTCCAGAATGGTTGGATCAGTTCACAACTCCACCAACAATGCATTAGTGTTCTAATTTTCCCACATCTTCTCCAACATTTATCATTTTCCTATTTTGTCATGTTTGCCAATTTGTTAGGTGTGATATGACATCTCAGAGTTGTTTTAATTTGTTTTTCTCTAATCAATATGACTATAGATAGCTTCAATTTCTTCATTTGAGAACTACCTGTTCATATCCTTTGACCATTTATCAATTGGGGAATGACTTTTATTCTTATAAATTTTACTCAGTTCTCTATATATTTTAGAAATGAGGCCTTTATCAGAGATACTGGCTGTAAAAATTGTTTCCCAGCTTTCTGCTTCCCTTCTAATCTTGGTTGCATTGGCTTTATTTGTGCAAGAACTTTTTAATGTAATCAGAATGATCCATTTTGCATTTCATAATGTTCTCTATCTCTTGTTTGGTCATAAATTCTTCCATTCACCATAGTTCTGACAGGTAAACTTAAACTATTCCTTGCTTTCCTAATTCGCTTAGAGTATCATCTTTTATGTATAAATTCTGTACTCATTTGACCTTACCTTGTTGTATGGTGTAAGATTGATCTATGCCTAGTTTCTGCCATGCTATTTTCCGGTTTTCACAGCAGTTTTTGTCAAATAGTGAGTTCTTATCCCAGAAGCTGGATTCTTTCTTTGGATTTATCAAACAGTAAATTACTGTAGTCCAATCAACTTAAATTTTTAAAAAACACGTAGAAAATGAAAGCATGGAAAGACAACACAGGATCAGTGCAATAGGCTGACACAAGACTGTAAGATTAGTGTTGAGTGCTAAGTCTGAGCATGAACTAAAGGTAGGAAAAGTTAAGGATGACAAAAGGATTTTTTTAAATCTATATTGGGGAAATTAGATGGGATGAAGAAAGGGAAAGGAGGTCATTGCTTAGGGTACATGGGAAGATGACAGCTGACAGAGAAAACAGTTCAACTCTTCTTTTCCTTCATTTTTTTCTTCATAGAAGATAGTCTTTGGGTTATTTGAAAGGACAGAGCAAAAATGATTCGTGGGGAGTTGATACCCAACATACGTAGTGAAATAAAGTAAGAGAAAGCCTAGACAACCTTGATGAATTTAAGTTTCCTGACTCAAGTGAACAAACTCACGGTCTGTCACTCCAGGTGCTGGACCAGGTTCATAAATATCCTCTAACCCTTATAAACTGTGACCTTGGGTAAGTCTCTTGGCTTTTCTGAGCCTCATCTTCCTCATCTGTAAAAAAAGTTTGGACTTTTATGGTCCCTTTCGACTCTAAATCTGTGGTCCTATATATTCTAGGCACTAAACAAACTGGCAAATGTGATTTCTGAGCTATTATCAATTATCTTTGAAAGATCAGTGAGGATGGGGAAAATGTGGTAGGATTGGAGAAGGGCAAATGTCCTGATTTCAGAAAACAAGGGAAACAAATGGAGTTGGCAAAATTCTAGAACGTATTATTAAAGGTATGTTTAGTATCTAGACAGAGAAGCAGGAAATCTTACAAAGTGGTCACATGTATTTGAATTCATAATATTTGAATTATATTTATGTGACATAGTCATTTGTTCATTTGCTCAACGGATATATCCTGTGTGAATTCATTTGTTTTATTGGGGGGGGAATTCATTATTCATACTAATCAGGACCTAGCGTGCACACACACACACACACACACACACACACACACACACACACACTCTCTCTCTCTCTCTCTCTCTCTCTCTCTCTCTCTCTCTCTCTCTCTTTCTCTCTCACTCGTATACATATGTCTTATGGTATAGAAAAGATAGGGAATTTTCAGCTAGACATTGGTAATGTTTTCATATCAGCTTGGAAGGAGGTCTCCAGTGTTGTGCCCATGGATGTATGAATGACCTCATGCTTTGCAACTTTGTCAGTTTGCATAAAGGGATAGATGACACAAAGTTGGGAGAAATAGCTAACACAATGAAAGAGTCAGAACTTAAAAATACTTTGACAGGCTATAACATTAGGACAAATCTAGTATGGTGAAATTTAGTAGAGTTAAATGCAAAGGCCTACAGTTTGTTAACAAAATCAACTTCCCAAAGACAAGATGAGGAGGCATAACTTTAAAAAAGTTTGTCTGAAAAAGATTTAGAGGATTTAAAGGACTACCATCTTCGGCTGTATTAAATAGACACACAGCACCCAGGAGTAAGAAAGCAATGGTCCTATTATGTGGTGTCTTGTTCAGGCCACATTTGGAGTACTACGTTCTTATATTTTGGGAAGAACATTGATAAATTGAAGAGTGACCAGAGAAGAGCAGCTGGATGATGAATGGTTTCACATGTGTATTGGTTGAAGGAATTGGGTCTTTTAAGGCTGAAGAATAGATACTTTCATGCCTTGCTTGCAGTTTGCTGAGTCTGGACTTCATGATGCCTATGTTGCACAACTTCCACTGTACCCTTGATCCTTCTTATCTTATGCTTTCATTAGTGGAGTCCCTCCTGTCCTCTGATACTCTGCCTGGACTCATTTCTCAACTGCTGGCATACTCCCACCATTTCTTAGTCTTCCTGTTCTTTTAGAATTCCCATTTGCAGAAGAACTCTTCCCAATTTATGGCCAAACAAGAGATAGAGAACATTATTAAATGCAAAATGGGTCATTTTGATTACATTCCAGCAAAACAGTTTTACCTCATCATTCATTATTTATGTTTTCCATAGGTATTTTCTAAATTGTTGTGTTTTGTCATCATATTATTGTTTGCTAATTTTATTTTTCTCTTCATTGTCTTTATCCAAGTTGATGTGGTTTATAATACTTTCAGTTTCGTTTCTGGTGTTTTTTGGTATTTGTTATTTTTCTTTTGCCATCTTTCCTTTAGTTCATTTTAATTCATAATATTTATTCATCAAGGTGTAAGTTTAATTCAAATTCTTGTTTAAAGTTACAAAATTTTACTTGATAGATAAAACTTTTAGGAAGAGAATTGTTTGTTGTTTAATGATAATTACTGTTGAATTGTTCGATCCTGTCATCTTTATCATATTAGCAAGGCTGGCCATTACAATTTAAGATTTAATTTCTCTGCAAGAACTTTGGAATAGATAAAGTGATCATAATTTTTTTTTATTAACCTTAAAATTTCATCTTACCACAATGAAGAAGAGTGGAGCAGTGGAAGTTTTCCTATACTTGAACCATGTTTCAAATTGAAAACATATAATATGAAATAACTGTTTTGCCCTATCTGATCTTTTATAGATTCCTTCACTTCACTTTTTAAGGTGAACAGTTGTCTTGAGTAGGCTGATTACTGATGTGAACTGATGAAGCCTAGTTTGACTGGTCCCTAGTTCTTAGAATGCTTGTTTGCTAAGATTTAACTGCCTCAGAGACCAGACATCTCCCTGTCCCAGCTGCTTTTATGCTGTGGCACAATTAGAGTTGGGTTTCTTCAATCTCTATTCTTTATCCCTCATTTTTTATTAGGCAATTCAGGGAACGCCCTCATTTCAGTGATTTCTGGACTTCCGTGCTTCACTAATGATGAGACAGTCCCCTTTAGTGCCACAGCAGCTTTTTGGTACTAATGAACTAGCACTTTGCGTGTACGTGTACTTAGTCCATTCTCTGTCATATTATAATTTGTATACACATTTCTTCTTTTCTGATAGATTACAAACTCTCATATTTGTAATCCTTGGTATCTAGTATAATAGCTTACACATAGTAGGCACTAAATAAGTGTTTCATTGAACACATAAATAGACCTAAGATTATAATAGCATTCTCTCTTACAGAGACAGCTAATTTTACAATAGTTTATTATTTTATGCATGCTCCTGTACAAAGCTACATTTGTAGTTCTGTGAAAAGACATTGCTATTGAACTGTTTTTTTATCTTGTCACCTTTTATCTTGTGGCTTCATAAAGCATAGGTTGACCAATTGTATTTCCCATGTATTTGTTGTTCTTTGGCTTTCCTTCTCCATCTATTATGTGAGTGTCTTGCATGCACCTATTTCTGTACATGCACCTATTTCTGTTAAATGTTAGCTCTTTAAAGTCAAGGACTATTTTTCCCTTTTTTGTACCTCTGTCCTTAGCACATGCGTGTCATATACATATAAGCATTTAATAATTGCTTGTTGATTGTCTCTTTTTGTGTAGCCGTTGTAACTGATACATGGTGCTCACAATACCTGAGATTTCTACACCATATTAAGTATGCCAGCTACTTTCTATACATGATCACAGTTGAGCCTCACCACCTTGTGCAGCGGACAGCTAGGTGGCACAATGGACAGAGTGATGAACCTGGAATTAGGAAGACTCATCGTGCCTTCAGATCTGGCCTCAGACACTTTGACCCCAGGCTAGTCAATTAATCCTGCTTGCCTTGGTTTCCTCATCTGTAAAATGAACTAGAGAAGGAAGTGGCAAACCATTCCAGTATCTTTGCAAAAAAACAAAACAACAAAACCAAATGGGGTTACAAAGTTGAGCATGACTGAACAACGGAAACTGAGGTTCAGAAAGATTGACTGGCTCAAGGACACAGAACCACTGAATGCCTGAGTTGGGATTCTGACCCAGGTCTTTAAATAATTTTAGTATTTGTGGGTAAGAACATTATTCACAGCAAAAGACTGTCATGGACAACTTCATTAGTTTTACACACTTGCTGTTTGAGCAGTGAAGTTTGCAGAAACTAATTCTTGGACATGTGTCCTTGGCTTTCCCCAAAACTGGAAGCTTGAAAGCTGGTACTTAGTATTTTGTTCTAGCTTGTGATCAGAGAGCAGTATTAGAGGTTAAATAGAAGCTTCAGTAGTTTGAAATTTATAAATACAAGTGTCACATTTTTAAAATATTCTTTTAACAGAATATCTAAAATGTTACTAATGTTAACTTTTCTCATTACAGAATCTGATATTGATGCAGCCACTGCAATGATGCTTTTAAATACATCTATTGAACAAGGAATTTTAGAATGTAAGAAATAATTTTTTATCTTTTTGCTACAAAACATTTTGGACTTTTGAATATTTTTTTAATTAGAATATGAGTATTTAATGGTTTTATTTTCATGACCTTGGATTCCTATTGCTCTCTGTTCTTGGTTAAAGCAAGCTGCATTTGCATGCAACATTAATTTTATAATAGGTCAAAGGACTTAATCACCTTAGTCTCACACCTTTATTTTTCATTTGAGAAAACTAAGACCCCAGAAGTTGGGCCCATGTATGACTCACCCATGCAAGGAAGGTTACAAGTAGTGGAGCCAACCTAACAAAAACCTAGATCCTTTGACTCCAAAATCTATTGCCTTTTGTACTCTACTGTGCTGAAATTTTCAGATGTACCAGTAAATGGTGAAATTACCAGCATTTTGAGAAGATTAAGTACAATTTTAGATAATTTATAGCTCTGCTGAGGAAAGAGGCTGTGTAAATCCAAAGTAGTAGTATAGTTGTCTCAACAAGAAAATCCTGTATATAAATAACTCTTCATGTTGAGGTAAATGTTTTATTCATTGATTGAACTTCATTTTATGCAGGTGAGAAGCCCCTGCCACTCAAAACGGCTTTACAAAAGAAAAGGAGTTTTGTTAGTGCATTTAGCCATCCCAGTACCATAAATTTACAGGAGAGTGATTCTGCAGTCAACAATATTGATCCAAAGGAGGATCATAATTACAGTGCGAGCAGCGTAGCAACGCAGCGTTGTGCATCCAGATCCAGTGTGTCTTCCTTGTCTTCTGTTGATGAGGCATATGAGTTTATCCCAAAGAATAACCTTGCAGGAAGTGATGGCAGTGAAGGGTTTCACAGTGAAGAAGATACAGACATTGAGTATGAAGATGACCCTCTTGGAGACAGTGGCTACATATCACAGCCTTGTGCAAATACCTCTGACAAAGACCAGCCCATCAAGAAGCCTAAAAGAGAGTCATGTCAGGAAATTGATGAGGAGCTTAAAGAGGCAGCTGGATCTCTGCTGCACCTTGCTGGAATCCGCACATGTCTGGGTTCCCTGATAAGTACTGCAAAGATCCAAAAGCAAAGGAAAAAGTAGTAATACCAGATGGTCTGATTTTTTTTTTTAACGTGGCAATACTCTTCTACTTTCTCTTCACAAGGGAGATCAAAGCCATAATGGACTTCTTTAGCTGGGAGGTGGGGTGGGTGTTGGGGGGTGTGCTAATTACCTTTTTTCCTTTATACTTTTTTTTAATCACTGCAATTAGGGTTATGCTGACCTAAGATTGGGCCAATCAATGCATGATTGAAGTGCTAATAGCATACTTTTTCTAATCACTGATTCAGAGATTTGGAGAACTTCTACAGAGAAATCCTCAGGCTCCCTCTTAAAATTGTAGACGAAATCTTTCCCACATAAATATCTTATGTTGATGTAGCAAAATGGTATGACTTGCCAGTCAGTATAGCAATTTTTCCATTCTTTTTAAACCATTGAATACAGTGGATGAATTGGCTAAAAATGATATTTTCCCTTTTACTCTGTTTATTTTATTCACCAATGTAGAATATACACACACACACACACACACACACACACACACATATATACATATATATATTCTAGTGAATGCTGATTGAGACATGAACCAAGTGGGGAAAAAAGCTATATGTGAAAAAATCTTAGGTAGCTAAACTAGAATGATTGCAAGTCTACTCCATGTCTCTTATAACATCATCTTTTGAAATTCTTTGATTTATCTATTCTTATATCGAGTTTATTGGGGGCACTTTTGCTTTTACCCTAAGTGCTTTAAATCAGTAATTAGTTGGTTAGTTCTCTGTTAACCTTTAAGTTCTCTTCATATAGCAGATAGCCAATGAGATGATACCATGTAATAATCTCCATTTTTGGCAGACCTTTGCAATGAGAGATTCTGTTCTCTTATATTTTCTTGTCTCCACAAGAACAGTTATAATTTCAAATTATAATCATTATAATTTGAATGGAGTGTGATCTAGAATTTGGTTCAGTTCAACAATTAAATGCCTACTATGTGCCAGGCACTAGAGATATAAAGACAGAAAAAGGAAGCAATACTTGCCCTTTAGGAACGTGTAGTCTATATGAATAAAAGTTTTGTTGAATGTTTACAGTTAAGTAATGATAAGTAATTTTTGAAAATCTATCTAAACCCAGGGTAAAATAGGCATAGTCTTAATATTTCAGAATTAGAAAAATTAAACCCCTTTGGATAAAGCTGTTTAATACTCAAATGTGCCATTAATCTTTAGCTAATAGATATTACTGCTTCTAATAATGAATCCATTGGCTGAGGTGGTTAAATATTATTTGAACAAGCATTTCTAGGTTTGAAGTTATAGTTCTTCAGAAAAATCTAGGGATTTGAGATAAATTCAGTATTTATTAAATGAAATTTTTCCCCCTCTGGGCTTTTGGAAGGAAATCTTTTAAAAGTTTATTCTTGTCCTCTGTCATCTTTTTTTTTAAGATTCTCCCTGTAGGATTTTTTTTTCCCTCAGAAAAACTTCCTTCCTCTTCCTGCCTTGTCAGGATTATGTTGCCTTGATGCTTTCACATAATTTCAAGCTCTTAGGATTGTTAAAATTTGTTTGGGCATAATTTTCAAAGAAGATGCATGTTAATAATAAATGTTTCACAGAAACCTTAAGCAGGGATATGTAATGTTAAATGTTCTCTATTCTGTGTTAATGTCACCTATTTCAGTAATGAATGGACCTGCTTGGCCTTGTTAGTAGAATTAGTGGGAGTGTGAAGGTAGTCATTTTATTTATTGTTTGTGAAAAATAGCTCTTAAGCACAACTAGGTTATATTTCTTAGATTTTTTTAATTTTATCATATATGATGCAGTTATCAGAGGACATTAGTATCCCTAGTTAATAACTGTTAGATAGTAAATATAACACAAGTGCTTATTACCACAGTTTTTACAATTTGCTCTTTCTTCTACTAGGTTCAAAATAGGGCTTTTTACTTGGTAAGATTGGGAGTTAGCTCTAGGCCCAATAGACTGGGTACATGATGTCTAGCAATTTATTTATGACAAAGTTCAACTGTAACAACCACTTAAATGTCCCAGGGAATTTGTCACAATGGAATTTTGGCATTGTGGCTAAAAACCATGATTTCAGTTCAAATATAATTTGCCATATGTCAAAATAATAGAAATAGTATTAAAAATCCATATAATATTCCCTTATTCAATTTTTTACTTGCCATAGTTAGTATTCATTTTTCTTATCCCAAATAGAAATCAGTGTCTTCTAAATATATACATATGGATATGGATATGTATATATATATATATATATATATATATATATATACACACATATTAATTTGCATGTGCAATGTCTTACCAAAAGTTATATTTTCATTTTATTTTTCACATATAGAGAAAGAACATAGCATTTCCATATATATAGGAGGTATTTCTTTTAGTGAATCATCTTCTTTCTCCAGCTTTGTAACATTAAGTTTTTCCTGTCCCTCCCATATCCAGCATGGCTTCTCTTAAAGAAGTTTTTTTGTATATAGTACAAACTTAATGTAATTTGAATTGGGAAGGGGGGGAGCGTAATTTTATCCTTTGCTTACTTTTGTTTTTCATTTTTCCTTTCTCTTTTTGGGCTACTTTTCATGACATTATGTAAAGGGTTCATACCAAATGGTCAGCTGAATTGTGTTTTAGCAGGAATTCAAAGGTAGGAGGAAGTGTTTCTGGAGGAATGTGTGAGACTTGGTAGACCAGGAAGTCTTTCCTGCCAGTTTAAGCAACAAATGTGGATACTTCACAGAGTTCTAAAGACTATTGTCTTGAATTCTACAGCAATTTTTTTACATTTTGTGGAGACCATAGAATTTGTTGAAATTTTGAGGCTTTCTGGTTTGCAACTTCTCTAGAGTTCTTTGTTAGGCTGGAAAGGGAAAGCTTTGGTTAAAGCAAAGCTTGCTCAAATTTGTTAATAATGATGTAGTCAAAATATTTATTGACAGGAAAAGTAGAATATTTTAAGCATTGTACCTGCCATTATTTTTAAAGCACACTCTTTGTATCTAACTGCCAGTGCCATTATCAAAACTTTTTTTAAAAATATAAATGTATGTTTCTATTCAGCTAAAGTACTTAATTTAAAAGTATTATGTTGCCATCATATAGTGATATGAAACAATTTACAATTGCCGAGTCATTTTAATTATTATTTATTTAAAGTAAAAATGTAGAAAAGCAATTTGAGTTACGCTATCCCTTAATCTTGTTTTCTAATGTAGCATATGGAATGTCCTGGACTGTAGAATAACTCTGCCTGTAGATGACCAGTTATGAGTGAACCTATTTTCAGTTCCAAGTTTTTTGCTCATTTTAAAAACAATTTACAAATGTTTAGTTTTTGTATCTAATCTCTGTTAATTAAAATGTTTATAAAGTTTATTTTTACCAAAGAGATGCAATTCATTATGATAAAGTATTGCAGAATAAACTTTGTTTTATAACATTTGTGCTTGCTTTTTTCATTGGGAATAGATGTGATACGTTGTTGCAGTATTTATTCTGAGAGAGAACAATATTTGAATCACATCTTGAAAAATAATGCTATGACCCTAAAAAAAAATATGAGAATACTCTCCTTTCCCCATCCCCTCCCAGCTTTTGTAGAGGCAGGAAGTCCCTGTTTGTAGAACAGTACATATACTCCTAGGGGTTTGGCTGAATATTTTGATCAATTTTGCTGATTTTTTCCCCCCTCTTTTTGTCTTTTTAAAAAATTGCTATATGAGATGTCTCTCTGGGAGGCATACAGGGAGAAATTTAACTGATACAGGAACAAAAGATCTCAATACAGTGGTTTTGTTTTGTTTTTTGTATTTTAAAGAATAAACTTACTGAAGATAGGGACTGTCTTATTTGCTTATCTTTGTATCACCAGCACTTAGCACAGTGACTGACACAAAAAATGCCTGATAAATGCATCAGTTATCTCTATTGCTTTGAAAAACAAATAATACTGTTCAAATTTCATTATAAAGTGATCTCAATTCTTTTATTTATAGAAAAATGTTCTTGTTCCTGTTTTATTCCTCATAGACCACTGATGATGGAAGTAATGCTAGCTAGTCCAAATCAATCCTATTTTACAAGGTGAATTACGTTTCTTTTATAATACTCATTAAAAAAACCAAAACAGTTCCAAAAACACTAGCTACACATAGAGACTTCTGGAAACTTAATGAATGCAATGGAATTATTTGTAAGTAGACAGATGTTTAACAATTTAAAGATAATTACCATTGGCATACAAAGTATCAATTTTATGGCTCCTTGGCTATGGGATCTTTCTGTGTGTAATATAAAAAATGCCATGATAGCCCAAACTAGATTCCACATATACTACCATGTTATAAACCTAAATTAGAAAATTCTAAATGGCCATTACAAAATATGAATCTACTATTATTTTCAACTAAATCTTTGTTACTTTTTTTTTAATATGGACAATGAAATTTTGTTGGTTTTTGTTTTCTTTATTGTGCATAGTTGCTACTACGGTTTTATGGCTTGGTTTTTTTTTTAAACTTTATTATTTATTTATTTTTAGTTTTCAACATTCACTTCTATAAGATTTTGATTTTAAATTTTCTCCTCTTCCCTGTCCTCCCCCCTCCCCAAGATGGCATGCAATCTGTTATAGGCTGTACTTATTATACATTCATATGAAATATTTTCACATTAGTTATGATGTAAAGAAGAATTAGAACTAATGCGAAGAACCACAAAAAAGAAGAAACAAAACAGAAGGGGAGCAAATAGTATGCTTCCATCTGCATTCAGACTGCAGAGTTCTTTCTCTGGATATGGATAGCATTTTCCATCATGAGTCTTTTGGAGTTGTCTAAGATCCTTGCATTGCTGAGGAGAGCTAAATCTATCAAAGTCAGTCATTGGTCTTTGTTACTTTAAAGTGACCTTCATAGCAAGGTCCCGATTAGTTTAAATAATTAGCACCAATAAGTTGTAATTATATAAAACATAATTAGTTCCAACCCAATGGAAATATGTAGTAGGAACTCAAATAATGTGACTGCATAATAGGATTCATATTCACACAAGTCAGGATCTAGTTTTAAAACATAACAATGTTTGTAAATAACGTGAACCATATGACATGGTATCCTTATGATGCAGAATACCAAATTACTTTAAATTTGGGATCAGTGCACCTGTCCTTTAAGAAAAAAAGTTATTGTCACTCTCTCCCACTATTGTATCCTAAAGAATATCTGTCCTGAGAAAGGATAGGTTGGAGAATATTTTGTGCAAAATCTCTAGGAAATAAATTTTTATCTTTGCCCAAATTCATGTTAATTATGAATTCAAACTTTGTCCTAAGATTTCCAGGAAATCCTAATTTGATATTAAAAAGCTTGGTAATAAAGGTAGCAGAGAGCCATTAGCATACATAGGGACAAATTGTCCTGTTGTACAAAGGCTGAATAAAACCATTAAATCATTAGGAATGGAAAATTATTTTCTTGTTCATTTTTAAAGTCAACCTTATAAATGTATTATTACACAGTCACAGGATGTTAAGAGTTTAAAAGGAACCTCAGAGGCC